CCGTCCTGACTGCTCTGGCCCTGCTCCCTCCTCAGGGGCATGGAGAACTCTGATTGAGAAGGTGCAAGAGGCCCGAGGGCACGCCCGCCTCCGACATCTCTCCTTCAGTGGTAAGTGGGGAGAGCCCACAGGGATGCTGGAAGGACTCCCAGAGGACAAGGTGGGCCTCTCCCATGACCTGTGTGTCCTCACCTTTGACTCTCCCCAGGAATGAGCGGGGCAAGGCTCCTGGGCATCCACCACGACGCTGTCATCTTCCTGGCAGAGCAGCTTCCCGGGGCCCAGCGCTGCCAGCACTATAAGTTCCGCTACCACCAGCAGGGAGAGGGCCAGGAGGAACCACCCCTGAATCCCCACGGGGCAGCCCGTGCCGAGGTCTATCTCCGGTGAGAGGTCTGGGGAGCCCTGTGGGAGTTCTCAAGCATGGGAATGAAGTCTGTAGAGATTGGAAACTGAGGCCTGGGAGAAGATGCCAGGCCACTCCAGGAATTATTCCTAAAGTTCACATCGGAAGAACGAACCCCCTCCATTCCCCTTTTCTCTGTCTCCAGTGGTAGCGGTATTTCTTTTGTCAGCGGCAGGCCCAAGCCAATGGGTAGGTAGGTGGCATCTTTTTGAAGGAATGGCTGTGATCCTCCCTTCTTTCCTCCTCTCTCTGCTGCAGGAAGTGTACCTTTGACATGTTCAACTTCCTGGCCTCCCAGCACCGGGTGCTCCCTGAGGGAGCCACCTGTGACGAGGAAGAGGATGAGGTGCAGCTCAGGTCAACCAGGTATGGAGGGCAGGCCAGGGTGATGGGGGTGTTCTGGAAGGGTCCTAAAGAGGGTGACCAGGGGCAAGAGAGGTCATTCCTGGGTACCAGCCTGTGACACTGCTGACCCCACCAGACGTGCCACCAGCCTGGAGCTGCCCATGGCCATGCGCTTTCGCCACCTCAAGAAGACATCCAAAGAGGCTGTGGGTGTCTACAGGTTAGTGGGGTTGGGGGGGAGGATGCCCCTTGGGTGGATGGACAGGTGCCCTGGTGTGGGGCTGCCTTGGTTCTGTTCCCCCTGCCCCCTGAGCTCCCCCTTGCCTATCCTACCCCACAGATCTGCCATCCATGGGCGGGGCCTGTTCTGTAAGCGCAACATCGATGCCGGCGAGATGGTCATTGAGTATTCCGGTATCGTCATTCGCTCTGTGCTGACTGACAAGCGGGAGAAGTTCTACGACGGGAAGGTGGGCTCCCCCAGGCCGTGGGAACGAGGGGATAAAGTGGGGCTGATCCGTGGGAATGGAGCACCTGACTGCCCTATCCTATCCCCGTAGGGTATCGGGTGCTACATGTTCCGCATGGATGACTTTGATGTGGTGGATGCCACAATGCACGGCAATGCTGCCCGCTTCATCAACCACTCGTGTGAGCCCAACTGCTTCTCTCGAGTCATCCACGTGGAGGGCCAGAAGCACATCGTCATCTTCGCCCTGCGCCGCATCCTGCGTGGTGAGGAGCTCACCTATGACTACAAGTTCCCCATTGAGGATGCCAGCAACAAGCTGCCCTGCAACTGTGGCGCCAAGCGCTGCCGTCGGTTCCTGAACTGAAGCCGTGGCTGCCCACCACACCCCCTGCTGCCATCTTGCCCCTCATCTGGGGGCTCCCTCGTCCCTCCCAGAGCATCTCACCCCCACCCTCCTGTTCAGGGTGGATGTGGGCATGCAGGTGGCAAAGGCCCTGCCTCCACCCCACCCAGCAATCGCCCCCTTCCTGCCCTGGGGGCCCAGGATGTAGATACTGTACAAAGGTTTCTAAATCCCTTCTTTTCTATGCACTTTTTTATTTAAGAGGGTGGGATCCCAGGTGGGAACCTCCCGTAATAAAGTCTGTCAATGTTTGGAGAGGTGGTGTTCCCGTTCGTGTGGTGCTGGGGGCAGGTAGGAGCTCCCGTTTCGCCATGCCTTAGCCCGGGAAGCCTGTCAGCCTCCATAGAAGGGTGAGGCTATCACTCAGAATTACAAGTAAATCGTGAGGGTCTGTTAAGGCTTCGGAGCAACAAATGTTCAACATATTCCCAGTTAGAATCCGGCTGGGCCCCTGTGAATGAGCTCTCCCCAGGGTAGCAGGGCCATTTCTCGGGACCATGGGTGCCCAGAGGCACGAGGCCGACTCCCACATCTGGTCTAGTTGCGTATGGTGGGATGAGGGGATTCCCGTTGGGTCTTGGCCCAGTTAAGACCGTATTTCAAAAGGGCACCTTCATGAGGCCCAGAGGCAGCAGGCAATTCATGGGAAACTTTATTGAGGAGTAGGCCGAACAAGCCCCAGATCAGCCAAGTTTGGACAGCACCTGCAGTGCATCTGCCCGCCCCAGCTGGGCCAGGTGTATGCCAAACTGCCCCAGAGAAGCAGAGGGCTCCCTTGCCACCACCATCTCGATCAGGGCCCGCAGTGGCGAGCGACTGGGTCGCAGTGAGTAGGCAAAGGTGGACCAGGCAGCGGGCACTCCGTACCTCGCCGCCAGGTGTCTCGTGGTGCCGCGTGCCATCCCCCCACCTGGCCCAGGTTCAGGATCCAGCAGCACTATCAGCTCCTCCAGCACCTCCAGCTCATCGAGGAGGCGAGACAGGGGCTGTGATGCCAGACTCGGCAGTTCTGGGAGACAAATGGAGGGGTGAGGAAGAGGGAGGGCAATCTTCTAGTCCACCTTTTCCCTCCCTGGCACGTCCCCGACTAACCTCTGCCCAGGAGTGGAACCAGAGAGACCTTATCCCCTGCGTCTGATGCCTCCAGGGAGCCTGGAGAGGACGAGGGCAAGGAGAAGACCGTATGGATATTGGTGTCGCCACAAACCAAGCCGGGGTAGGGATGGAGGACTTTTGCCCGGCGGTGACACCGCTGGGCAAGCAGAAGGATCACTGCTGAGGTCACCAGCAGAACCAGCACCATGAGAACCAGCACCACTGGCAGGGCGAAATTCGGCAAGGCCTGCTGAGTGACGTTGCGCTCAGGTGTCCAGGAGACACTGGAAATCGCTGATGGGCTGGGCTCCTGGGAGCTATAGACTCTGGGTTTCCCAGACTTGAGAGGACAGGGCTCCTTGGGAGGGACCGGCTTCTGCAAATAGGTTGGAGTAAAGCTGGAGGCGTGCCCCACCCACTTCTGCCCCCCTCAGCCTGAACCTCCCATCCTTATATCCCTCAGTGGGACCAAATCCCCACCTGAGCCAGCGACCCACCCCCTAACCCAGGTAGGTCTCCTGATACTACTATTCCCCCAACCCTATTATTCTCCTCAGTGGGACTGCACTCCCTCCCTTAGTCCAGACCCCGCCCACCTAACCCCAAACCACGCCCCCCAGCCCCTGTCCCGCTTCCGACAGGCTGCACCCCTTCCCAGGCCCTCCGGGGCCTACCCGCACCTCTCTGCAGCGACGCTGGGTTCCGCTCCTGCTCCCTGCGGGAGCGGGGGCCGTGGCTCCGGCGCCACAAGGGCTACATAGCTCCGCATTGTCGGGGTTGCACTGCCCAAAGGGACACTCTTTGAAGGGGTATGTCACGTGGTCGGCAAAATCATTGAATCCGCAGTTTTCCGAAAACTCGTAGTCTGGTGGGAAACAAAGTCTCACGCGTGGCCGCCCAGCCACTCCTCTTCTGCACTAACGACGCCCTTTCCCCTTTGTCCTATCCCGACCTTGTACTCTACTCACCCACCCTATCAGTGGACGTGCCACCCTCCCCGCACTGGCCAAGCAGGCTCAAGACCCTCTCTACACAGGCCCCGCCCCGCTTCGGCACCAAGCCCCACCCACTCCCGATTTAGCCACACAGCCCACCCTCTGAACACCGCCGAGATCCGGCCCCTCTCACTGGCAGGACCACTTCGCCGTGGCACTAACGTAACCCATACCATCCCTTCCGTCACAGGCTCAGCGCCCCTGCTGTCTTATCTGCATAGGGCCGGCACGCCCCCACGCAGAAGGAAGCCTCACAGACAATAATCCACAGACCTCGTCCCTTCCCCATCTCCTTATCACCTCCTGGCTCCGCCCTCATACCCGGCCCCTGCTCCTCACCCGGGCAGGGGGGCGGCCCAAAGCGCTGCAGGCAGCTGCTGCAGCACCGGTTATCAGGGTTCCAGTACTCTAGGCGCCCGCAGTGCTGGGAGGCCTCCTGAGGCGCAGCCTGAGCCAGAAGTAGTGCCGCAGTCAGGAGGCGCCGTAGGGGCCCCATCCGGGCGGGGTCTGTAGCCTGGGGGGCCGTGACCACAGAACTTCCGGCCACAGCGCCTCTGTCACACTTTCCAGGAAACCGGGGCAGAAGAAGGAAGCAGTGATGTGGGGGCTTGGGATACCCAAACCGTTTTGGAAGACGGGGAACCTACCGCCCCCCACCCCCAGCCCCTAGTCCAGCTCCTGACCCGTTATTAGAAGGACCACCAAGGACTCTAGATTGCTAGAATGAGGACTCAGGAACCACAGAGTGGATTCATATCCCACCGCTGCCATCTTCCTTACCTCTTTTCTCATCCCTAGAGCAGGAGAACAGTACCTGTCTCAAAGGTTTATTTCGAAGACTTAAAACCATTACTAGAAGTAAACTGCTTAGAACAGCACCTAGCATACGGTAAGCTTAACTATTAGGTATCGCGAACTCCCACCTCAGGGGAGCTGGCATGGAGCACCCGGACCTCACCCTCTGGAGACTCCCACTCAACTCCCAGGGGCCTTACCTTAGCTCCTAACCCCAATCTCCTCGGGGCTGGGAATCCTCCAACCTGCCACAATCAGGCACCTCCCCCTTGAGAAGCCTTCGAGAAATGTCCTGAAGTTCCCAGCACAAAAGCGTCCCCACTGCTACCGGTCCCACTGAGGGGTTTCTAGAGCCTTGGGCCCTGAGCCTGCTGCTTTCCCACCTGTTGCTGGAAGTTCTTCAGCTGAAGTTGTGGCCAGAGCCCAGCCCGCTTCCCCTTTTCGTCAGGAGATGCGGGGGTGGAAGGAAACTCCAGCCCACAGCTAGGCTCAAGCTAACAGGTTCTAAACCCTCAATACAGAACTTTATTAGGGGAAGGGTGGTAAAGGAAGGTCCCTGTGTTTAACAGATTAACATCACGGAGCCCCGGAGCCTGGGGAAGACGGCGCTGGGGAGGTAAGGAAGCTTTCAGGAGGTGTTCTGGCCAGGAACATTTATGCCTGTCAGGGGTGGAGGTCAAGGGAGCCAGGGTCTCAGAAGCGGCCATGCCGGTGGTCTGGGGAACGTCTTCGGTTTCTTTCTCGGGGGCGGTGACCAGTATGGGACCTTGGGGGTGACCTGGGAACAGGAGAGGAGAGATGAGGGTTAGAGCTGTGAAAAATGTTGCACACTTCCCCAGGCCTGCCTCTCAGTTCTGGGGTAGGGCAGGGCAGGTGATGAAATAACCAGAGTTACTGAGTGGTATCAGGACAGGTGCTCAGGAACTGATCTCTGGATTGGAGATCCAGACTGGTCTTGGGTTTGGGGGTTTGGAGTTCCAGCTGGTTTTGGGGTTGAGATTTAGGCTCTGGTCCTGGGATGATGCTCAGAACTAGTCTTAGGATCTAATAGAGACACGCTGTTATGGGGACATAGGATAAGGTCCATCCCGGGGTACAAAGGCCTTAGGGTATGAGACATCCTGACAAGCTGATCCTGAGGTACCTGCGCCTGGGTCCTCGCCCATACAGCTGACGTCGAAGATTCCGGGAGATGGGTCGAAGGTGCATGAAGTTGCAGAAGCCACCCCGGGTACATTCCCTGGGTAGGGGACAGATGGATGGAGGACGCTGCCGTCGATGACAGCTTCCCAACACACAGGAGTCTGGAACTCCTGGTGCCCATCCCACCCCCGTACTACCATACCCCATCTCGTATTGCCGACAGCACGACTCCCGGAAGTCGGTGACAGGAGACAGCTCAGCATGCACTGCCTGCCCATTGAACCAGCGGTTATTGAGTTCAGCCACTGCCCGCTCTGCATCCTCCTCACGCCGAAACTAAGGGAAAAACCGATCAGGGTTTTTAGGGAATCAGTTAGCAGCTCTGGGGCTGGGCTGGATTTGGTGATGGACCTCAAGCTGTGAGGCTTCAGTGGTGACACTGAAATGCCTCCACCTGTAGGCTCTATTGGGGGGAAAGCAGACACCTTGACATAGACATTGCCCACGAGGTGGTCCCCCAGGTTGTCGCACACATTCATCTCTTCAATCTCCCCATACTTCTCCTGCAGCTCCGTGAACACCTCCTGCGGAAGATCAGGACGCATTCAGCTGAGATCCTGGCCCACAGGAAACTCAACCCATCCCTTGCCAACCCTCACCTCGAAGAAGTTATCATAGTGTTCTTGCACCTCCACGTCGCTCACGTGACCTGGAGGAGGGGGCAGGATGAAATCAGGGGGTGGCCTGCCGGGGTCTGTCTGCCCTGCCCCCAAGACCAGCCCCTCACTCACAGTGTGATCCGTCTGCGGTTTGGGCGGTGTTCTGTGGATTCCGGTACAGGTTGAGCAGCACTATGGTCTGAACAGAATTTAAAGGGGGCGGGGGCCTGAGCTCATGCAAAGGGGTGGGGTATGAAGGTTGGGGCTGAGACCAGGCAACAGAGAAGAAGCCTAAGCACCTTGATTGAGCGCATCAGCGATGCTTGCGCTTAAGGAAACCAGAAGAGAAACCTAGCAGTCAGGGACAGCCCAGCAGTGTAGTTCGTAAGTACGGGGGCGTGGCGAGAGGGACCTGAGGGAAGGGGAGGAACCCGCAGAGGCCCGACAGGAAAAAAGCCGGTGGTAAGGTGGGCCTTTGAAATCCGGAAAAGGCGGGACCTCGTGATGATGGACAACAGAAGGGGAATGGCTGGGAGGCGTTAACCCTCAAGGCTCCGTGCCGGGTCTCACCTGGCTGAAAGTCGGTTTGTTGTGAAGCCGGGAGCACCGGTCCCCGTGCCGGCAGGCCCCGATCTTAAAGTAAAAAGAGCAGTTAACCCTGGAAGAGGTGCAAAGACAGAGGTGAACCGAGGGCCGGGGAGGCCGGACACCCCAGAAACACCGCCCAACGCCTCCCAGCCACCAGGGAACCAAATGTCCCGGCCCCGGTCCCCGCAGGGGGCCACTCCCTGCGCCCGTTCTCACTTGTCCTTCTCAGTCCCGAATATCGAAGCTAAATATTCAGCCATTTTTACTCGAACCCTCCAACTCAGTCGGCTCTTTACGTCATTTCCGTTGCTTTAGAGCATTGGGAAGTGTAGTTTGTCGCTGCCTCCCTCCACCGCACGCGCGCCTAGACCGTCTGCTGCGCTTGCGTGTTGGAGACCTGCGCCCTCCCCGCAAAATCCCGCCTCCCGGAGTTCCCCGAAGGCGCATGCGTGCAGCGTTGCCTCACTGAAAAAGACTACAAACTCCAGAGATACTTGCGGTATCTCGCGCAAACGTCCGGAGTTGAATGTGGTAAAGGCTTCCAAGCGGAGGAAATAGGTTCCACTGGTGAGTTGGGGGTCGTTTCGCGTACCCCAATAAACGTGAAGAGCGTTCAACCCTGTCAGCTTGCTGGTGGGGGCCGGAGTACCCTTCTTTCAGCAAACCCACCCTTCAGTTTTATCTCCGTTTTGTAGTAATAGGGGCGTGGTTGTTCGCGATCCCTGCATCTGTCACCTGGGGTCAAGGCTCGGCTCTTGCCCTTACAGACCCTCGGGACGACTCCGCCTCAGCGCAACTATGAACTTGGAGCGGGTGTCCAACGAGGAGAAGCTAAATCTGTGCCGGAAGTACTACCTGGGTAAGGGCCGATTCCTAGAGTCCCAGGAGAAGAGAGGGGACGGGGACAGGACTAGAGCGCCTGAGGGAAGAGGACCTGGGGACTTGGATTCTTGGGTCTTAGTTGCGGACTCCTGGGTCTGAGGGAAGGGTCTGAGACCTGAGGAAAGAGGAAGCTGGGGCCTCAACTTCTGGGTCCCAAGAGACGGGGGGAAGCTGTGGGGCTGGATTCTGGGTCCTGAGAAATAGACGATTGAAGAGTCAGATTTTTGGGTCACAGGGAGGAGCCAGAATTCCTAAATCTCTGATAGAGATCTCCATTTGAACTTGGACATGGGAGAGGGCCTTCTGTCCTCTATGTAGAAGTTTGGGGCGGGGGTGAATGTCACTGCTTTTTGTTACAGTTTTGTTGTTGTTGTTTTGTTTTGTTTTGTTTTGTTTTGTTTTGTTTTGTTTTCTCTTAGGTGGGTTTGCTTTCCTGCCTTTTCTCTGGTTGGTCAACATCTTCTGGTTCTTCCGAGAGGCGTTCCTAGTCCCGGCGTACACAGAGCAGAGCCAAATCAAAGGCTGTGAGTCTAGGACACAGATGAAGGGAGGCCATTGGGTGTCCAGAAGGAATGATGGAGGTTTCAGAATTCTGGGGCTCCCAAAGAGAAGAGAGGGCCAGTCTGGGGGAGACCAGAGGGCAGTTGGAGGCCAACCTTACCCATTCCTGTTCCTTCTTACAGATGTCTGGCGCTCAGCTGTGGGCTTCCTCTTCTGGGTGATTGTACTCACAACCTGGATCACCATCTTCCAGATCTACCGGCCCCGTTGGGGTGCCCTTGGTGACTATCTCTCCTTCACCATACCCCTAGGTACCCCCTGATAGCTTCCTACACAGGCCTGGGACTTGCTCATTCTCTCATTCTCCCAGGATGGGCTCCTCTACTCTAAGCCCCTCTCAAGCCCCTAAGACTTGTTCCCATCTCCTGTGTTCTTTGCTGACATCCCCCAATAAAGGACTCTAATCCTCTGTATTGACTTCCTGGATCTTTTGGAGGTTGAAACATAAAATGGTTATTAATATTCAGAAACGTGTATTGAATGCTCACTTTGTGCCAGGCTTAGTGCTTCACACAGTAGTGCAATCCTTCACTCTATGAACCCTCTGAAATAGGAATTTTCCTGCTCAGGAACCCTATTTTACAGATGCAGAATAAGAAAGAAACAATGCTTCCATTACTAGGGGCTGCTATCCTGTCCTGGGGGTGTGTGAATTTGAAAACTCTACTTTCCCACTTGGCCTCAGTACTCTCATCAGAAGTGTGGATACCGGGGCACCTGGGTGGCTCAGTAGGTTAGGTGTCCAACTTCAGCTCAGGTCATGATCTCACTGTTCATGACTCGAGCCCTCCATCAGGCTCTGTGCTAACAGCTCAGAGCCTGGAACCTACTTTGGATTTTGTGTCTCCCTCTCTCTCTGCCCTCCCCTGTTCATGCTCTGTCTCTCTCTTTCTCTCAAAAATAAAACATTAAAAAAAAAATTTTTTTTAAGAAATGTGGCTATCAATACTACCTCTTAGAATTTATCAGACCCAAAGCATCTGTGGTAAATGGAAGTTTCCCATTTTCTGAAGGAGATGTTGTCTGCAGCAATAGACATAGCCAAGAGCTTTATCAGAGAAAGCTTCCTTGACCATCCTACTTAAAATTTCAATCCTTAACGTTGGTACTCCCTAAGTGCCTTGAGGTTGTATTCTTTCTTTTATTACATTTCTTTTAAACTGTTTTACTTCTTGTAATCTTACATCCTCTGAAATATAAGCTCTATTACGGCAGGAATTTTTGTCGGTTTTGTTCTGTGCAGTGTCCCCCGTGACTAGAAGAGTGCCTGGCACGCTAATAAATATTTGCTAAGTAAATGGTTGCTCCTGAGGAGAGATTAACAGGTAGCTGGCACCTGGCGAGTGCTCAGTAAGGTTGAACCCGGCCTAACTCCAGACTTGTCTTCTTCTCGGGGACAAGAAGGACTCCTACGGTTAAATAAATCTTGGTAATAGCTAAATTGGTTTTCCTCAAAGCTCCTAACACTACAAGTTCCAAGAAACCTCACGCAGCCCTGATCCTACGTCTCCCACCGTGCCTCGCGCGGCGCAGGCGTTGTTATCCTGGCTGTGTCTCGGAGGTAGAACTACACCTCCCAGGAAGCACCGCGGGATGCCGTTGCTTTGTTTCCGGAAACGGGGCCTCAGAAAGGTGGGACTTACAGCTGGGAGCAGATGGCAGCGGTGTCAATTGGTCAGGGACGAGATCGACGGTGGCACTGCCAAATGGGAACAAGCAATTGCCAAAGGGACCCGCCCACAGAAGGGAAACAGAGGAGGTGGCGGCTGTAGTGGCGGTCGCCGCCGGACACTGCTCAGCGCGGGGGACTGGTCGCACACAAAGCTTATCTTTGACCTCTTCCCGTCAGTCTTCGGCCTCCATTTATGACCCTGGGCTCTTTGGCCTCCTCTGACCCAGCTAGCCACACCTCAGACCCAAGCCATGTTTCCGGTGAAGGTGAAAGTGGAGAAATCAGGTGAGGACCCCGAGGTAGGGGGCCTGTAGGGGAGCACCGGACCCATCAGGGTATGGGAGTCCCGATAGATAAGATTATCGCGATCAGACAGACCACGCGACTTCTTCCTGCCGCCCACCTGACCATCGCTATGTCAGGCATTGAACGATTCTTGCCATCTTCATACCCTCCCGGTCTGTGTTGAAGGTAGCGTTGAGATTGAATGGTGGTGGCTCAGACCGTGTGGTACAGTAAGACCCGGGGATCCTGAGACGTGTGACAATGAAAAGGACACTTCTTGCCTCTGCCTCGGTTTCCCCATTTCCAGCAGTGGTCATGAGTCAAGCATTGTGCTCAGCACTTGAAGTACAGAGAAGCATTTAATCCTCCCAGTCCCTGTATCCCAGTAATCCTAGGAAGTAGGAAATGTGGTAGATTGGGAAACCGAAGCTGAGAGAGAGGAAGTCATTTTGGGTTGGGTCCGAGCTGATGGGAACCCAGGACTGGCATGTTAATGAGGGTGGTGGGAGAGGCATGGAATCCAGACCCCCAAAAAAGCAAAATGATGTGTAGGGTGTTAGATGGTATAAGTTCTAATAAAACGAAACAGGAGAAGGTAAGATCAGGAGTGAGGCAAGGTGGGGCACCTGAGTGGCTCAGTCCGTTGAGCCCTGTGACTTCAGCTCAGGTCATGATCTCAGGGTTCATGAGTTCCTGCCCCACGTCCAGCTCTGTACTGACAGCCCAGAGCCTGGATCCTGCTTAGGATTCATTCATTCTCTTTCTCTTTCTCTCTCTCAAAAGTAAATAATTAAAAAAAAGAAGGAGTGAGGACAGATGAAGGAACAGCAAATCAGATGTAGGAAATAGCTCTGAAAAGGTCCTGAGGTGCAAGACTCATCTGCCACGTTCGAGGCCCAGCAGAGAGGCCAGTGTGTCTGGAGCAGAGAGAGTCAGGTGGAGAGTGTGAGATGATGGCAAACAGGGAGAGGGAGGAGGACAGTTCTTGTGGATCCAAATTAGGACTTTGGCTTTTGTTCTGAGGGAAATGGGAAGCCAAAGGAGGGTTTTGAACTGAGGAGTGAGTTAATAAAGATCCCCCCCAAATTAAAAAAAAAAAAAAAAAAATCATGAGTGGAAGAGTAAAATACAATGGCCTGACTACAGATGATGGTGGGGGCAGGGGGCAGGGGGGCAGGCAGGGTCATTGGAGGCCTGTGAACACCAGGCCAAAGAGTTCAGACTCAGTCCTGGGGAACTACGGAGTGGTGGACTATTCTGTGCAGGGGAGGATCAGGGTGGGTTTGGTTTTCCAAAGAGTCTCCTGGGCACGTTGTGCAGGGTAGGTCAGAGGAGGAGATTGAGGCTGGGAGCCTGGGGGAAGGGAGAGAACCAGGCTAGGGAGAGAGCAGAGAGATACTCAGGAGGCCAAGTGGACAGACCATGGGGTTGGTGAGCTGGGGTGGAGGAGGATGAGAGGTGTCTATTATGAGGCCCAGTGAAGGACTGGGGGAGTGGGGCTACCCCAGAGATGGGGGCCCAGGAAAAGTGGTAAAGTTTAGAGAGACACTAGACTTTGTGGACCCAGTAGATGGTAGGGGCCTAGGGGATGTCCAGGGGGAGGTATCCAGGAGACCATGGGATCCCAAGGTCTGAGGTTCAGGAGAGAAGCAGGGCCTAGGGAAAGAGATGTGGGTATGTATGATTTATACCTGGGCTCTTGTCCAGGGCTCTCTGTTAGAATCTCAGCTGCCTGCAGCCCTTCACCCCCACCCTGCCTCTCCTCCGTGCTGTTGGGAATCCCTGCCTCTTTCATCCCAGGGCTGGCAAAGCATGTCCCCAAGCGCCCTTCCAGGCTTTGAGCCCTGGACCAGAGTGATGCTAGGTACTGGCTGGAACGAGAGCAAACACCCCACAAGGGCGAGAGGAGAATATTTATAACATCATCACCTCTTTAAGTTCTATGATGAG